ATCCGGCCGAGGTTTCAAGGATAATCGTAACAGTTGGGGTGTTCACAGTTCGTTCCAAATTGTGTCTGAAAATGTAGACGTCTACATTTTAAGACGTTTTCTAACCGTAAAATCTGTGGTGTTGTTGTTTCCCATACAAAATTGGAAAACGACGCCGTCTACATTTTCCCAAATATACTCGGGCTCGTATCGCTGGATTGTTAAATAAATGCTAACGATGACCAAATTGTAGTACAATTAACTTTATTGTACAACAAACTATTTACAATACTCGCTAATACAGTAAAAAACTTTACAATACTTGTTAAAGCAATACAAGGCTTTACTAAACTTGTCAACACAATTAAACTTATAGCTTGCTTATCCGCAACTCACTTCTCTGCTCACTTTACTTGTAGCTTGCTGACTTGTAACTAACTCACTTCGCTGTGGCGGCACCCTTATATATGTACCTGCGCTCGCACTTATGGCAACTCTAGAACGTTCTGAAGTTTATCGCTCATTCTCTTTCTCTCGCTGTTCGCAGTGTTCATCCAACTTGACGTTTCTCTTTGTGGAACATTCTACGTCATTCTTCGAACATTCTGCCTATTTCTCGTTGTTCGCTTTGTGTTGCCGCAGTATTCGCCACACTGCCCTCCACCTAAGTCTGATCGTCCGAATCAGACACACTTGCTGTTCCAAACGCCGCCAGCCTTTCCAAGTGGACCACCTGGTCAGAGTGCAGCTCTATAGGTACACCGTTTCTCGCAACCCAATTCTAGTTGAATACCATCGCTCCTGTTTTAGCTTCCTGGTTTGGAATCGGGTATACCTCCGGCCATTTGCTAAAGTAGTCCATAACCACAAGGACGTATTTGTTTCCCTGTGCGCTCATAGGAAATGGACCGGCTACATCCATGGCAATCCGCTCGAAAGGTGCACCTGAGTTATATTGCTTCATCTGGCNCACCTGAGTTATACTGCTTCATCTGGCCATGACTTCTGGATTTCGGCCCTTTGGCTGCTATACACTCCGCGCAGTTAGCAATCCACTCTGCGACCGATTGCCGACAACCAACCCAATAGAACCTCTGCTTAACCTTCTCCAGGGTCTTCGTGATTCCCAGGTGCCCTCCACTAGGACCATTGTGGAATTCCTTGAGTACATCCGGAATTCTTACCCTTGGAACTACTATCAGGTTGCGGGAGCACTGGCCATCTTCGCTTTCCCATACCCTATGCAAACAGCCAGATATTAATTTTAAGCTGTTCCATTGTGCCCAGTACGCCTTTGCGATGGGGCTTTCCGCTGCCATTTGCTCCTTAGTTGGCCTTCTGTCCACCTCCAATCCATGCATCAAAAGCTCCAGATCTGGATCTACCTGCTGACACTTTCGTAGCTGTTCTTCCTTCCACTCTTCCGCTGGTGTTATTGTCGCTAGACGGACGTCTATAATTTCCTCTTTGCCCTCAGCTTTTGAGCAGAGTTTACATTCCAGGCTACATGGTCGGCGGGACATGGCATCAGCATTACCGTGGACACTTCCCTTGCGGTGTTCAATAGCGAAGTCATAACTTTGCAGTCTCTCAATCCACCGAGCTAGCTGTCCTTCTGGATTCTTAAACTGTAGTAGCCACTTCAGCGCTGCATGGTCCGTTCGAACTCGGAAACGTTGCCCATAGAGGTACTTGTGGAAATGTTTGACGCAGTCCACCAACGCTAGTAGTTCTCTCCGAGTTACGCAGTAGTTCCTCTCTGGTTTTCCAATCGACCGGCTATAGTAGGCAACTACCTTCTCCTGCCCATCAATTACCTGCGACAGTACGCCTCCTATGGCATAACCACTAGCATCCGTATCCAAAATA